ACAGATAACCACACATCAGGGCTAAAAATCACAGGTAGAAACAGACCTACAAGCACCCAGGCACACGATCACTTACTGAGACGATGTCACACAGAAACAGAGACACACCCAGACACACTGCAGCACAGCCAAGCCAGTGACACAGAAGTACACCGTTACACAGACAAGCACCAGAGACCCTCGAGCACGCGCACATGCAGTAGTCACGCGTGGAGCTATAGAGGCGCACACGCTGGCACCAACACAGATAGGCACGGCCAAACAGCAAACATACATAGCCACACACACACACACACACAAAGATCATGGTCTGAAACACATGACTGGCACAGCATGGAGCCTGCACAGTGGCCCCACAGGGGCATGCAAGATACACTCAGGCCCACAGGTCAAGGCTCGGTTGGGGGGGGTAGGCACTCAGAGGTAAGCCCACCTTAGGGTCCCTGCTGTTCCTGCCATCATCCATCCATCTGACTGTCCATCATCCATGTCTGTGTGTGTGAAACATGCACCTGTCTCAGACCCATTCTATTGCTGTCTCTCTCAGCGCCCCTCTGGGGCTTCTCTGCCTCTCTATCTGTCCCTCTTACTCAGGGTCTTGTTGCTCGTGTCTCTGCCACTGTCTCTAAACATCTCCATCTCTGAGTGTCTCTGCTTCCATCTATTTCTGTCTCTGGGAGCCTCTGCCTGTCTGTCTGTCTCTGTCCCTCTCTGTCTCTGTGCTTCTGTCTGTCTGCATCCCTCTTTGCCTCTGTCTCCTCACCCCCCATCACCCTGGCCCCCTGGGCTGGGGTTTAACCAGTTGTTTTGATTTCTCTAAGCTGCGCCAGCTGCCTCAGGAACTGCCTCGGGCCTCACCGCCCCCCCAAGCCCCTTCATCCCTCACCCAGGCCCCCCCATCCCCACCTCCCCTTAACACAATCTGCACAAGTGGAATGAAAATTGATTTTTTTTTTAAATTTCATATCTTCTCCGGGGCTCTGTCTAAAGAGGAGAGAGACGCGGCCCAAGACCCTTCTCCCGCCGCCGCCCCTGCGTGTACACATATCGTGCCCAGACACACACACACACACACTGCATGCACCCATGGCCACACATTCAGACACAATCTGGGGACATGCCCCATGCAGAACACATCAGTGCATGCAGTAGCCTCACGATGACACCCACCACTAAGCACACATACCACCACATTCCTGGGCCATAGTGTTCTGCCCACCCCCTGCCCACCTGTCTCCACACGAGCAAGCCCCCCACACACCCTGTCACGTCTGGGTGCATGCAGCCTGACTCCCTGCCATCACACACCGTATGTGCGTGTGCTCACACACACCTGTCCATCCAGATTATGGCCACATCCATGTGTACACAGAGCCAGGCTCAGGGACTGTCCCACCACAGGCACCAAGGAGACCTCATGGCTGCCCTGGGGAGGAGGGATCAAGGGTTTGAGGAGACTTTCCTGCATATACCTATGCTCCTCACCCTAGATGTCACCCCCACCCCCATCCCTGCCCACATCAGCCAAATGCTCTGGCCTGACCGTGTGCAGAGGTGTCTCTGTGCCTGGGATGTACACACAGATACATGACACCACACACACCACACACACTAAACACACACACACCACACACATACCACACATACACACCACATACCACACATATACCACACACACCACTTACCACACACACACCACACACACCATACACTCCACACCACACACACACACGTACCATACACACCACACAACCATACTGCACATGTACACACACCACATAAACACACACACCTCACTACTTCCCTCAGTGTCACACACTGTAATCCCCACATATACACACAAAACACAGGGACCAAAACACACAGTCACTCATAACACACAAGCCCACAGAACACACACAGAAGTTCACACAGTGACACCAAACACACTTCAGTGCTCCCACATCATCAAAGAAACACAGCCTCATGGAGTTGGGCACAAGTTCACACAAGTGGTACACACATGAACCATCCAATAGTCACACATAAATACACAACCACACAAATGCACACAGTCACGCATACACACACAGCTACCAACACTCTTTAGGGCTGGACACACACAGTATCACTCACTCGAGGGCTATGAACCAACACTCTATCTAGCTTATCACATTCAGGTCCCCCAGATGACCACACACACACACAGAATACTGTACGTCTGAACCCAGACTCGGACACAAGCTCGCGGACTAAGAGACACAACAGCAACACCTTAACACAAACATACTGCCACGCAAACTCACAGAGCCGGTCTCTGACACACAGATTTGGGGGATCTTTGTGACCCTGTCATGTGGTGTGTCCTTGGCTGCCTTGCTCACACCCACACTTGCCAGCCCAGCTGCTGGGGCGTCTGGGGGTCACACTTGCTCATGGCTTCCACCCTGGTTCTCTTGGACGAAGCTTTCTCATCTCACCCCAGAGGTGTGAGCTGTCCTGTCCTGGGCACTCAGGCACATCCTGTGTGGCCACATGATGAGGACACACCAGACACACAGCACAGCTCAAATTCTGGACATTCGCACCAGACACACACAGCTGAGCACCACACACAAGTCACACAGACCTGCTCACACATGGCACGTGGCTTTACTGAGCCCACAGCCTCCCGCATCCATGCTTAGTCACCTGTGCCCAGGAATATGTGCTGTGACAAAGTCACACAGCCACACACACAGGGACCTCTGCTGAGGCTGCACTGAGTAGGACAGACAGAGGGATAGACTAGCAGACAGACAGGGCACTGGCTTCGTGGCCTGGAGAAGGTATGTCTGTGACACCAGGCTTGGGGTGGTTGGGAGGCACCAGGCCAGGGACACAGAGCCCCACAATGGAGGGCAGGGGAGGAGACCCACACCCACCCTCTCTCTCCCTCTTGCTGGGTGTCTCTGTCTGGGGCTGTGTGTGTGTCTGTCTCTCTCCCTGAGTCCCAGTCTCTGCACGGATGTCCCTGGGGCTGCAGCCAGCGCATGGAACGGTGTCAGTGGGGGGGTGGCGAGGGAGCGTCCCCGGGGAGGTGGGAGCCGCAGTGCCACGCACCCCGCCTACCAAATAGCACTGGGGGAGGGGAGAGGGAGGGCAGAGACACAGCCCGCCAAGCAGAGCGGAGCTTGGGCAGCTCCCCCACCCCCGCCTTCCCCCCCAACTCAGAGACGCAAAAAGATGGAGGAGGGGAGGGGGCTGGGGGTGCTGGGACCCAGAGAGAAGGGGAGACACAAGAGAGGGGGAGAGTGAGACAGATGCAGAACAGAGAGCCAGAGAAAGGAAGCAGGGGTGATAGGATAGGAGGACGGAACAAGGCAGAGAGGGAGGAGAGGCAGACAGATGAGAGATCAGAGAGTCCCACAAAGCCAGAAAGAAGAAACAAGACCATGAGAGACAGAAGAGAGGTAGAGACAGAGAGAGATGGGGACAGAGCCAAATTCAGGAGACACAGAAAGAGGGTGTGAGTGGAGAGCGGCTGAGAGAAAGTAAATGAGAGCGCTGGAGGTTGTGGGGACTGCGAGGGCCGGGCCTTAGACCCTGGGTCAGGGAGGAGGGACAGGAGGGGGCAGAGATGCAGAAAATTGAGGGATTAGGGTGGAGGCAAGAGAGTGGATGCAGGAGAGCTAAGGCAGGGGCTGAGCGGCTGCAGGCAGGAGCCAGGAAAAGGCTGAGTCTAGGCCCAGTGCAGGCGCCCGGCCCTCCTTCCGTCCTGAGGGGCCAGTCCCCCTGGGGCCTGACTCACCCCAAGTCCAAAACCTGCTCCTCATCCTCCTCCCTCCACCCAGCCCCATCCCAACCTCATCTTCACCAACCTAACCCCAACTCCTGCCTCATCCTGAACCCCAAGCTCTTCCAACTCCATACGCTTCCTTAATTCCAGCTCCATCCCCAGCCTCATCCCCACACCCCAGACCCTGCCCAGCTTCCTTGGCTACACCTTTAGCCCAACCCACCTATCAGAGGTCCAGCGACAGACATGTAGAGAAAGGACTGTTTTTTGGTGGTAATGGGGGGTGGAGGGACAGAAAGCTGAAGGAGTGTGGCCATAGTACTGGAGCCAGCTGCCTGGGGTCCAAGGGGCCAAGCCCTTTTAGACTGGGCCGGGGCTCCATGTGTCCTGCACATGGGCCTGGCACCAAGTATGTGCTAAGGACACATTGTTTAAGTGAAATCCAGATTAAACTGAGCATGGCAGGGAATCAGAGAGACAGACAAACGGTGAGTCAAAGGGACAGAAAGCCAGAAATCAAGGGACAGAGCCAAGGAGGGGCCGGGAGACAGAGACAGAGGGATGGGGAACAGAGACAGGAATATAGAGGGACAGGGATTTAAATGGAAATGGAGACAAGAGTGGGGAGAAGTGGGTAACTGAGAGCCAGAGAAAAGGGGGAATAGAGAAATGGAGTCAAAGACCCAGGAGGGCAAACATGAGGGGCAAAGAGGACAGAGAGTCCGGGAACAGGAGGATGAGGAAACAGGAGGCAGCAGGGCAGGGCACCAATGCCTGGAGTGAGGTGAGGGCCCTGGGTCGGCTGGAGCTGGGTGCCCTGGCTGCCAGGTATCCCATGAGGGCCCAGGTCTGGCCACGCTGGGGGAGGCTTGGGGCTCCAGGGGCATCAGGCACGGTGCTAATTCAGCGCCATCGATCAGACGGGATGAGAGCAATAAATTATTGTGACAAGATGCAATCCTGGCCCTCGCATTGCCGCCGAGGCGGATCGATCCCTGTCCCCAGCCCCACACCAGGTCCCATGCCCAGGCCTCGGCTGGCTGGGATGCCTCTGCCCACCTCTCTCTCCATTCTCCCTGCCACACACTCACTCCCACTGGCAGCCAGGTGGGGCAGCAGCCCTAGGGAAGAGACAGGACCAGAGGGGACCCACAGAGGGAAATTCAGCCCCTACCTGACCCGGGACCTCTCACTTCCTTCAGCACATCTGCACCACCACCTGTGAGATAGGAACTGCCAGGATGCCCATTTCACAGATATGGAAACTCATGTCAGATCAGAAGAGGAATTGACCACAGTCCCACAGGAGTGAGTGGTGAAGCCTGGACTTAAGTGCAGGTTGGTATGACTTCAAGCCCCCCAATATTTGTATTGTTAGTGTAGAGAGCAAGGTAGAGACAGAAAAGGAAGGAAGAGACAGAGAGAGAGAGAGAGTACTAGATATGGAGAGACAGAGAGTACCAGATATGGAGCAATAGGGAGTCAGAGAGCTATAAAGAGATATGGAGAGACACAGAGACATGGAGAAAGAAACAGAAATACAGAGAAAAGAAAGAGACTGAGAGAGATACACACAGAAAATGAAACGGAGGGATAGAGATCAAGAAACGAAGAGACACAGAGAAAGAGACAGATTCAAAGACAGGCAGAAACAGGCACAGGGAAAGATGGCCAGATGGAGAGGTAAAGGTGGAGACAGAGAGAGGAAAGAAAGGTAAGGGTGAGCAGATAGGGAGGGGCAGGTAAGGCCCAGGGTGTGTCTGGTGACAGGTGTGTGTTGGGAGGGGGCTGTGCTGGCTCCATGTGGCTGGGGGTCAGGTGGGAGTAAGGCTGTGGGATGGCAACCTTGGCCCCAGGAGCCGGCGTGTGAGCAGGAACCTGGTGTGTGAGCAGGGTGCTGGGGCATGTCCGTGTACAGGAGGAGAGGGTGAGAATGTGAGGCTGGTGTGTTGGGGAGACCAAGGGGTGATGGAGAAGCAAGTGTTGCCAAAGTGACTAGGTGGACAGGTGTATCTGTGGAGGAGGAAGGTCACCTGAGGGGCAGGTGTGAAAGGCAAGGACACCTGGAGGACTGGGAGGGAGGTCTCTAAAGTTAGACGGCCTCCATTTGACTCAAATCTCCAATATCTACCAGTTTCTGGGAGCTTGAAATTGTTTCACCTCTCTGGGCTCAGTTTCCTTCTCTGTAGAATGGGATGAGTTAAGTACCTGCCCATGAGTCCCACAAAGATGAATGAGACAATGGATGTGAAGAACTTAGAACAGTGCCTGCCACAGAGACAGTTTTGGTATTTGGTAGCTGTCATTGTCATTGTCCTCCTCATCGATGCCATCAGTATATATGGGGGAGGGCAGGTGTTATGTGGTGAAACAGATGGGGAACATATTATGAGTAGATGCTACTCAAAGAGTGGTCCAGGGACCAGCAGGAGCATCACCTGGAGCTTGTTAAAAATGCAGACTCCCAGGCTTCACCCCAGACCCGGATGAGAAAAGGAATCTGTGTTTTAACAAACCCACCAGGTGTTTCTGATGCACGCTGAAGTCCGAGAACGTTTGACTTAAGGGATTCTGTATGATGCAGGGCGCAGCTATGTGGAAGGCTGGGAACAGGTGTCACATGTGTTTAACAGGTGCTGCAGGTGTTACTTATGCTCACTAGAAAAGGTGTTCCCTAAAGAGATAGCTGGCCAGAGACATGTGCTATGAAAAGGGACATTTGTTTCTGGAGAGAAGTAGACTGGAGACAGGTGTGAGGGCTCTGAAGCTCTGGCCCTCTTAAGATATGGGGGTTACAGGTTGCATGTGCAGGTAGTGAAGATAACAGCTGAGGATAAGGTGATTGGGGTGTGCAGTGGGTTCAAACTGTTCATGAAGGGTGAGGGTTATATGGATGTTTGCGGGGAGGAGGAGGACAGAGGTGGAACCAGTGTTGGGAATCAGGTGTATGTGTGTGGGACAGGCATGTGTCCAAGAGTAGGTGTCCCCTTTGGGGACAGGTTGGGAAGGCCAGGTGTGTGGCAGACACCTGGTTGAAGAGCTGTACAGCAAAGAGAGTTTAAGGGAGATGTGGGTGAGTGTGGGGTGGTCTCAGTACCCTTTTGCTGAACACATGAGTGAATGTGGTGCTGGAGCAGGTGACGCCTGAGGTAAACAGGTGAGGAACAGGCAGGTGTGTGGAGGTATTAGTGACAATGTACTGTGAAGAAAAAGGAAGTGAGAAACATGGGAAATTAGGTATTGGGAAAAGAAGAGAAGTGGACTGATAGTACATTAAGGACAGGAGGGGTGTGGGGAAGCAGGTATATAGGTACGGCAGATACCTGTGGCTGAGGATAGGTTCCCTGCCCATATGTGTGAAGTGCTGTTGTGCGTTGTGAGAGATAATGAGAGACGAAGAGAGGCACAGATGGAGAGAGTGAGAAGGAATCTTACACAGATGAGCAGCAAGTGTGCAGGTGAGTCAGGTGTACTTCTTAGAGGACACGGGCTTGTAGGAAGGCATCAAGGCAGGGGAAGGACATGAGGGAGCAGACACACAGGATCCCCAGGGCCAGTGCATGTGTGAGCAGTCAGGCAGTGTTTGGGGTTAGGAAACAGATGGGGATGGTGCCTCTGTCGTTTGGGATGAGTTACTTGAGATGACAAGTAGGGAAGACAGGTGTGAGGGCATAAGCTGGAAGTAGGTGTATTTATGTAAAATGACGGCAGATGCAGTGTGAGGGAGGTAGGTACAGGCAGAGAGTGGTGCGAGAGGCAGGTGTGTTCTTAGGTGACCAGTACGTGGGAAGGTCTTCTGGAAGGACAGGTGTGGGGGTGGATGAGGAGGTGTAGCATTATCAGGCAGAAGTATGGGTGAGAGCCAGGAGGGTTGGGCCAGGGCAGGCATTACCTGAGGAGACAGGTGAGGAGGTTACGTGTGCAAGTGCTTATGTGCAAAGGAAGAGGTGTGAGTGAGTGTGTGCGAATGTGTGTGTATGGTGAACAGGTACTGCTTGAAGGGAGGCAGAGGTAAAGAATATGAATGTGTGAGAAATAGGTGTGCTTAGAGCTTTAGGGGACAGGTGGGATGGTTCAGGTACAGGTAGGAAGGAGACAATGTGGCATGAAATGAGACAGATGCGGGTTCAGATAGAAGGGACAGATTTTAGAGAACAGTCCTTACGTGGAGGGGCAAGTAAGAGAGGAAGTGTGTTACCTGCAAGATCAGGGACATCTTTGGGGCAGGTTTTGGGGGCGACAAGTGTTACCTGGAGGGGCAGGTGAGAGAAAATAGATGTTACCTACAGGGACAGATGACGGGAACGGGTGTAGAGGACAGGTGTTACCTGCAGGAGACAGGTATAAGGAGACATATATTACCTGGAGATCCAGATGTGGGGAGTTGAAGGGGGAACACAGATGTGACAGGTGTGTTGGTAGACAGGTGTGGGTGGAAAGTGTTACCTGAGGCCACAGGTGTGTGCGGTGTGACTCTGCCAGGTGGTTTTCTGCCTCCGTTTCTCTCACTCCCTTTTCCTCCCCTCCCCAGGGGCCAGTTCCAGCTCTCAGATCCCTCCCATGGCTCTGGCCCTCGGCAGGGTACACAGTTAGCTCTGGGCTTGGTGAGGCCCGGCCTGCTGGGCAGCCAGGGCTCCTGAGGCTGCTTGGCGATGCGGAGCGCGTCTGGGCCTCGGCGGGCAGGCCGGGCGGGGGGAGCGGGCGGGGGGGCCGTTTAGCCGTGATAGATCCGCGCGCCGCTTGTCTCTTAATCTCCGGAGCGACCGATCGATTCGCTATTTCCCTTTGTTGCCAGAAAATTCGATCCTGGGCCTGGAATTAGGTCCCTGGCTTAATCTGAGCGGAAACCAGCGAGGGGGAGACAGAGACAGAGAGAGACAGAGACACTAGGAGAGACAGAGATGGAGAGATAGTGAGAGACGTGGAAACAGAAAGAGATTGCTGAAAGAGAGAGACATGGGGAGAGACAGGCACAGAGATTCAGGGAGAGATAGTCTAAGAGCTGGACCCAAAGAGAGAGAGATGCTGCCAGAGACAGAGATAAACAGTAAGAGAGACAGGGAGAGTTAGAGGTGGGCACAGAGAGATGCTGCAAGAGACAGAGACAGTGAGGAGATACATAGCCAGGGAAGAGATGGCAGAGATGGCCCAGCAGGGCCCTGTGACCATGGTGGAATGACAGGATGTCCCAGAGGGACACAGCCCCGCAAAGGTCAGGGCCAGGCCTGTGCTCCTTGCCCCAAAGTGTGCAGACTCCAGAATTGGCCCAAATGTCCTTCCCACAGACCCTATGACCCCTCACACCAAATATCCAGACCCCAACTACCCAGATCTAAATTTGCAGATCCTCAGCCTTGAACTCCAGATCCAAATCCAGACCTCTCTGCCCCCAAATCCAAACCTTTATGCTGACCCCAGCCCTAAATTGTCAGCTCCCAACACCAATACCTGGAATCTTTGGCCCCAAATATCCAATCTCTTGGCTCTGAATCCCCAAGTCCCAAATATTTAAGCCCTCAGCCCTGACCTCTAAACCCCACTAGGAATCTAGCTCGTAATATCCAGACCCACCCTTGGGTCGGCCCGCCAGCCGCCATTCCCAAATATTCAGACCCCGGTCTTTCACTGACCCCATCTCCGTCGTCTCACACAATCCCCATCCCCGCCCCCACCGCCCTTATGTCGCACCCATGTCCCGAGGCCGCACCTCCAACGCTCTTCCCCTCCCACTGCCCCGGAGTTGGGCACAGCCTCACCCCGCCCCCGCAGCCCGGGCTGGAGACCCCATCCGCCTCCCGCGCCTCGGGGTCCCGGAGCCCAGCTCCAAAGGTCTCTCGGGACCCCCTCCCGCGCCCCGGCCCCCGCCTCGGGCAGGAATCCCCGCCCCTGCGCAGGCCCGCGCCGCTCACTCACTTTCTGGGGTTTGCGCATCCGCTCGGGTCCAGGGAGAACTGTTTAAAGTTCGGATCCCGCAGCCATGGCCCCCGTGACGTCCTGGGGAGGGGCACGGGGGCACTGGGGCGGAGGACGGAGTGGGGGAGAGAAGCCCGGAGCCCCGGAGGACGAGGACAGGGAGTCACCGTGACAGAGAGAGACCCAGAGACAGACAGCCAGAGAGACAGAGACAGGGAGACAAGCAGAGAGGGAGATGCAGAGGGACAGACACCGAAACAGACGCGCCAAGAGGGACGGAGACGCGGAAAGCTGGGCACCGAGCTCCGGGTGGGAGCGCAGCGAGCGCGGCGCGGGCGGGAGGGCGCGGGGCCCCCG